GGGAAGAACCTCACGTGACATGCCGAGGATGTGCCTCATCTGTTGTAAGGTCATTGAAGAGTCAGTCAACTCTACTCTTCGATCTGTGAAGAACTAGTGTTTCAGTCACTAATACATGACATGTACAAAAATTCACTGCATATAGTTAAGTGTGACTATTGTTTTGTGAAAGCTTTTTCATATTGTTGATTCCTTGTATTTCTCAGGCTTCAGTTCAAATCCCACCATCTTAAAAAGATCTGCCTCTTTAATGTCTTCACCACTCACCTTGTACGGGTCCCTTGGTCATATCTACGCCCTTTTACACTGTGTATATTTGTTTATTGCCTATACCCTCAACTGTCTTATTCATCATTATATTCCCATCACCTAGAATAGGGCCCATTTCCTAGTACCTTTAATAAGGTTGCCACTAAATATTTATTTGATTGAAAACACAGTATTAACAAATAGAATAAGCATTCATTGCTTGTATACAATATGCCTAAGATGTAATTTATTGAATATAGTGTTTCTATTCTTACAACTCTGTAAGTTGGCAAGACTGTTTTATCTGAAACTGAGACTCAGGAGTGTTAAAGGGTAAGGTTAACACAGCTAGTAGTTGGCAGAGATAGGAACTTCAAACAAATCGCTATTCCACATTGCCTCTCTGATACCCCTCAGTGAGGATTAATTAACCTTATTTTTAAACTGTAATATTATTTTTGATACCACAATATTTATCATGTTTTATGATATTAATTTGGGCATGTTTATTTCTCGCTGTAGATTCTTACCAAATTTATTACAGACTATATCTTCTGAATCTCTACCGTATCTAATATTCTACTGATTCACAACAGTTAGCAAATATTTGCAGTTGAAAAAATAATTGGAAGTACAGATTATAGAAGTAACAAGCATTATTATCTCCTTTACAAGAGCAGCATGTTTACTTTTTAAAATTCACCAATTAATTTCCATCTAGAAAGAAATAGGAAAAAGTTATTAGAGCCCAGTTCTGAAAAGGCGGAATTTAGTGTTCTGAAAATTTGTATTATCCTGTGAATATTTATATTCTTCTAAAACAATCAATTACATTTAAGACCACACAGAAATATTTAAACTCGTTTCAGTTAAGTGTTTTTTCTTTTTATTGTTTTCTTTTAAAAAGGCTGATAATAATTACCAGACTTTTCCATGAATAATAAGGCCTATTTCAGAGTGTGTTTTTATGAGATTATTTTTGTCAACTATTTTGTCAAACATTTCTTAATCCACTGACATAAAACATCTTCTGTTGGCTAATCACCCACCTTGACTATGTAATTCAAGTAAATTAACTTCCCTAAACAAAGGGTAATCCTTCCGACTAGGATTTAGAAGTCACTTTCTTAGCTCTATTAATATCTAAAAATTGTTTTACGTTTTTGTCTTGATCAACCACTTTTCAGTTTACACACTAACATTACAATCATCATTGATAATCTGCCAAAATAATATTCTCTTTTCTTTTGTTTGAATATACCTTTTTAAAAGTTCTCAATTAAGAAAATAAGTATTAGGCTTTAAATTACAATACTTTGACAACTTGTTTTATGGCATTAATATACCTCGAATAATCATGTCATGGAGGATGATTTTGATATTAAAATTGCTCTATAATATTTTATGTGTATAACTTGGAAGTATTTATATAAGGACAATGAAAATAATAATCAGGATACTGTTGTATGTTTTATCAAGAAATGTCAGGTAAAGAAATGTGGTATAGCTGAGCACGGTGGCTCACACCTGTAATTCCAGCACTTTGGGAGGCTGAGGTGGACAGATTGCTTGAGCTCAGGAGTTCAAGACCAGTCTGGGCAACATGGTGAAACTCTTGTCTCTACAAAACATACAAAAATTAGCCGGGCATGGTGGCTCGCACCAGTACTAGCTACTTGGAAAGCTGAGATGGGAGGATTGCTTGAGCCCAGGACAGGGAGGTTGCAGTGAGTCAAGATTATACCACTGCACTATAGCCTGGACTGTCTCAAAAATATGTAAATAAAAATAAATTTTAAAATGTGACATAAATAAAACTAATAATTACAACACTTTATGGGATCATCCTGAGAAATCAATCACAGGATTAATATAAATTGAAACACAGTTTAAATATTTTTAACTTTAGACTAAATATATATGACATATTGTACATATTTTAGGTTCACACTAAAGGATATGGGCATGATATTATGCATGATAATAATATATAATTATTCTAAAGCATTTAGAAATCACTCTTCTTGAAATTCAAGGAAGCTGAAAAAAGGAAATGAATACCAGTAATATAATGTTTAAAAACCTTTAGTTACACCAACGCAAGAAGTGATTGACTTAGCATTGGCACACAATTTCTTTTCTCCACTGGCTGAAATGCCTTCCCTAAGAACTGGAAGTCAAAGAAAGTTAAAGACAAGTGCTTTGGGTCACCAATGACTCAAAATTCCCTATATGTGCACTTATATCTGTGAAGATTAATAGATACAAATATCAATTATGCATAAATCCTCATTCTAATTCTGTAACCAGTTCCTGAAAAATAATCTGTCATAAACTGTCTTACATTCTCTAATGCCTGCATATTCAAATATTTAGTGGTTATATTGTTAGAGTAGGTAGTTAGGCAACCAACAGGTGATGGTCAGGTGGCTGTTAAACTCTCTCTGTAAAACAATTATTGGTTGCTGCCAGTGCCAGGGAAAGACAGTCTCTAATAAATAGAAAACATCTGAATCTGGTGATCAGCAGTTTCCAGATAAGATCTCAGGAGTCGGGGGAGTGGACTCAAGCATGCGCACTGAGAAGCAAAATGGCAGCGTTTAACTGGTATAGGAATAGAACATTCCTCTAGGAACACTCAACTGCTAAGGGAAAAAGGCCTCCAGTGAGCATGTATACAACCTGAGTAAACAGGCTGTGCATGTGGCCCCTCCCAAGTGCTGACAGGCCACTGCACATGCAGACAGCCCACCCCAAGGGAAGAATCAGGGGAGAAGTACCACAACCCCAGAAGCATGCTAGTGTATAAAACCCCAATTCAGAGGTCAAATTGCACACTTGAATCTCTTAAGTTGCCCATTTGGCCATTTTCCAGCTGTACTTTGTTTCCTTTTGTTCCTGCTCTAAAACTTTCCTACCCTAAAACTTGCCTACCCTAAAACTTGCCTTGTCTCTCCCTTTGCCTCATGCTCACAGTCAATTTCTTTCTTCTGAGAAGGCACGAATTGAGGTTGCTACAGACCTGTATGGATTTGCTGCTGCTAACAATACCTTGATGAAACAATATTTGAAAAAAATATATACGTGTGAGCATTCCCTGCCCTCCCCCTCCATAAGAAGAACGCTTTAAGTATGAAGTAATCTGGTAGAAGATAAACAAAATCTCAAGTTGTTCATGTCTGAGAAAGGTATATTTCTTCCTTTCTGGACTAGATTAGCATAAATACAGAATTATTATAGAAAACAATAATTTGTAGCCTTCTATGAAAAAGACTGTATGACCATAAAATCCATTTTTATAACGAACCAATTGTGATTCTACAATTCTCTGAGGAGAAGTATACTACTAATGACATAATTAAAAAGAAAGAGCAATATCAAATTACATGTTGGTTTCCTAAACTGAGTGCAGAGTGAAAATGTCTTATTAAAGAGCTTGGTGGTATATCTACTGAAGCAGTATCAGTTCATTTAGTTGAAGGAAAGATAAATAATTTTATTCTAATCTCAGATACAGCTGATGAAATACATCAAATTGTAGTTTACATTTTATATTTAGCTTAAGATTTCTATTAAATACATGGCTAAAGGCTAAATTTGTGGTCTTATATGAAGACCTGTTCATTTGTCAGCCACCAGAATAGAAGCTTCTTTCTGGAAATTTATCTGATTTATTTACTTTATTTTGCTTCTCTACTTGAAGGAAGAAACATAAGAAGTCCCTCTATTTTTTCTAACCACATAAGTAAGGAAATGATAAACTTAATTTACAGTAAGAATTCTAATGCTATTTATTGTATTGTCCAGTCACTTGCTTCTTAATGGCTAGGTTTTAGAAACTCTTGACATTTTCAATTACAGCAATTTAGCTAGCTGATTCATTTAGCTAGCTTCATTTAGGAGCTTAAGAATCCAAAGATATAACTTGTTACAGGCAAATGATTCTCCTGAGTTTCCAACATGGGATGTGTGAATGCCTCTGTGTAATTTTCATCTGATTCTGGACCTGCCAATAACTTACCTTCTTCCTCTTGTGTTGGAAAGAAGTGGTCCTGCACAGAAACCTTTTGTCTTTTGCTAGTGGAGCAACAGAGTGCTAGTTTCCTTTGAGTGAGACTAAACTTCACCCAAAGGGAGAATCATTGCATTATAAAAAATGGTAAAAGTCCCATGACTTCACATATCATTTTATGTTATCATTAACAAGAGTACTCATTAACAAGAGTACCGCTGAGGCCTCAAACAATGCAGGAAAAATACCAATCAAATAAAAGTTTACCAACAATTTTTGCAGTCATAAACAATCAGTAAGTTACCAATTGTATATTATACCACTTACAATTCAAAAGTGTTGTTTAGGACTTAAAATAGTCCTGCCTATATATGTACTTATATGTATATGCCATATATACACATACACAATGTGTGTATGCGTCCTTTAAATTATATTATTTATATATATTATAAATTCAGTTCTATATAATTGAAATACTTTTAAGAGAATCAATTAAAAGCAGGTAAAAAATTCAAATATGTGTATATGCATACACGCAACATATACACATACGTATTATATTTAAGAGAATCAAAATAAGAACAAAAAATGAGAAAGGAAATCATCATAAACCTTGAACTTTTGACTAAAGAATCAACAAAAACTAAAAAATGTTCATTATGTGGTTTTTATATTTCCCGTCAAATGATATAAAAAGTAAACATTACCATGTAAGAGCATGTGGTGTGTGTCATACCTTCTCATGGACTTTCTGTCCAGGTTCCATCCCTTCAAGATGTTCTGATTCTGTGGATCCCTCGCTTGATGCCATTTTTCTTTGTATATGAACATTTTGTTCACGCAAGGCAACAATCTGCAAAATAAAAGCACTATGCCTTTAAAGTCTAAATAGAGCATAAAATAAAAAAAGAAAATGAATTTACTTCAATGTGATTAAGAACTAATGAACACTAAAAAATAACCAGAAAGTGAACATTACATTTTTGAATTATTATTCAAAATATATGTTTAAATGTAGGTCACCATTTTGATAATATTTATAAAACTTCATAACATCTCTGCCAAGAAGAGGTTAAAGCACTGTGAAATTTACTTAAGAAAATATTTTCTAGTTGGAAGTACATCTAAATCAATGATGTATTTGTATTAATGTGCCATTAATTCAGAATTTTTTTTTTAAATTAATTTATAGGATGTAATAAAAATGTTTTTTGGTCTCTATTTTTAAAGTATACAAGGAACATAAATAAAAAGATTGAAGGTTGAAGACTATGAGCACAGCAATTTCGCCTACATTGATGGCCCATCTGCAATTTAATATAAGCAGATACATAGCTGGACTTAAAAAATATTTTGTAATTCTGTCATGAACATGTACTAAATTTGTTTTATTATTATAATTTTAATGTCCATTATTTTACCAAATTTAATTAATTTGCAAACACAAATTCAGAAAGCAGTTAATTCTTGCAAACTTTCAGCTCAATTTTAATAACATAATTATTTCAATTAAAAAACAAATTATCGGGTAGTTACAGCAAAAATGATCATAGTAATATATAGAGTGAAAAATAGTGCTTCAGTCTTTTTAAAATGGCATTTTAAAATACATTTGCTATATATATGTATATATACACATCACTTTGAAAATATTTTACATTATATTAATGCTGTAACTTATTTATTTCATGGCATATTTTATTGTATTATCAACTCAGATATTAGTCAATATTAGTTCTGGGAGAAATAAATGTACATAGTATTTAATGCACAATAAGATCTGAATAATATTAAACTTACATTTGGAAATTACAAGACCAACATGTCACAAGACAAATAATCATTAACTGAAAAAAACATGGTATCAAGGGGTTGGGTGTTTGCCCTGCTACCTGACACTACTTCAATGCCTTATCTACCACCATGTGTCCATGACATCAGCTGATCTTGCTATATAATCTCTGGTATTTGAGCATTTGGTATATCCTTTTCTAGTTATATGTTCTTCTCTCTCATATAACTGTAATCATCAAATAATTGGCTCCCTCACTCTTACTCTTGTCCATCTACAATCTATTATCCACAAAGCAGTCAGGTACATCTTTCAAACTTAAATTACATTGTGTAACCCTTCAGCTTTCTAAAAAAATTAATGTTTGGCCCGGGGCGGCAGCTCAGGCCTGTAATCCCAGCACTTTAGGAGGCCAAGGTGGCCAGATCACTTGAGGTCAGGAGTTCATGATCAGCCCGGCCACCTGGTGAAACTGGTCTCTACTAAAAATACAAAAATTAGCCAGGCGTGGTGGTGGGCACCTGTAATCCTGGCTACTCAGGAGGCTGAGCCAGGAGAATCCCTTGAACCTGAGAGGTAGAGATCACAGTGAGCGGAGATTGTGCCACTGTACTCCAGCCTGGGCGACAGAGCAAGACTCTGTCTTAAAATAAAATAAAATAAAATAAAATAAAATAATTTAATTTTTTTTTAACTAATGTTTTCCCAGCTTATTTAGCCAAAATTTAAACTTCTTAACAAGGTCTATACTGTCCTATTTGAGCCCTTTGCTTCAGCAACACTGGCCTCCTTTCCATTCCTCAAACATACCTGTCTCTTACCTACACAGAACTGAAGAATTTGATGATCTTCCTGTCTAAAACATTATTCCTCAGCTATCACAGGGGACACAATCCCATCTTTAAAAACAGCTGAGATACCACTCCTCAGAGTGAATGTGTCTTGTCATCAAACACTTTTTACAATATATCCCTATTTATTTTTGTGCATGTAGCACTCATTAAAGTTTATTATTCCATTTCTCCACTTCCTCATTTTGCTTATTTATTTAGCTAGCACAAGTCTTAATAATACCTCCTGAGAAAATAATTTTCAAAAGAATGCTTCATTGAAAACAGCATTTTCATATGAAGTAGCACATCAAGTTATTATGTGCAGGGTATTCACTAAAAATTTGTTGAATTAAATAATACATGGATATGGGAAAACAAAGATCTGAACCTAATTAATTCAAAAAATAACAAAAGATAAAGATTTGGAGGGTACACAAAACTTCAGAAACATTCTTTTCACATTAGTCAACGTGGAAGTAGATTACATCAAAGGAATGACAAGAATAAAAAAAAAGCTCCTAGATATATTATTTTTATATTACACTCTTAACATGTTGCTTTTGGCATAAATATTATGTTACAATTGATATATTATGAGATTTTACTAATCATAAAGTTTAAAATATTCAAGTATCATTTGTTGACATTCCACTAGAGACAACACCTATGACTAACAGAAATGCTAATACAAAGTACCAGGCCATTTAAAAATTATATGCTTTGTTCTATTATTAATCTATTCAGAAGTGAAGGGAGACATTTAAAAACTATTTCAAGAACAAATATAACTCTCAGTTTATAGATTAGCTTACATTTGTTTAATAAACAAATGACTTTCAAATATGTCCTGGTGCCTGAAAAAAAGCAGGCCATCTATAAAAGTTTATTGAATGAATCAGTGAAAAGACGAATTAATGTCCCTATTAAAAATAATCAAGAAATCAAATTCATTCAAAAAAAAGTACAAATATAATTGAGCCACTATGATTTTTAAAATTCTAAACTTCAGGTTTGCTACAGTGTATACATGACAATTAGTTCCAAAAAAGACATATTTTTCAACCACTAACATGGTAACTTTGTTTTGTAAAAATGAATCAAGTCCAAAAACGTTGGCTCTTGATACAGAAGAATGAATGTGACATATTCTATATTCTCTACCACTCTAATATGCTATTTTCCCCAATAACAAATTATCCTGGGTAGTTATGAAACCAAAGCTTCAGCACCTGATTTAATTGTGGGTGTTAATAAGTGATTATTTCTGACACTGGGGAAAGGGGGGGAAGTTAGTAGTTCTCTTTTAAAAATTCACTTTTTGGGGTTAAGCGTTTTCTTCAATCTGTTTTAAAGAGTGAAGAGTTCACCAATAAATCACTAGAGCCTAAGGTAGCACAGACTTCTTTAGGAAATCCTCTTAGCTGGTTTGAGAAGTGAACACAAGAGATGGCTAGGGCACCAGCTTGGGACAGTAAATAGAATGAAAAGCAGCTGATGGTCTCAAAATATTCCCTAGGCTCTCCCTGAGAGGGAATGTTGTCAGAGGGAGGGCCCAAGCAATTTGCCTACAAGAAAACTAACATAGGTCTGGATGCCTCACTGCTAAACAACATGGCCTACTTGCTATCATTTAAATGTTCCCTCCAAAACTTATGTTGAAATATAATTGCCTTTGTAATGGTATTAAGAGGTCAGACCTTTAACAAGTTTTTAGGGCCTGAGGGCTTTGCCCTCATAAATGGATTAAGGCTGTTATCTCTGGAGTGAGTCATTTATCACTGGTGTGGGTTCTGGATAAAAGGATGGAGTTTGCCCCTCATCCTCTCTCTGTATCATCTCACATGCTTTTATGCCCTTCCATCCTTCTGCTATGGGATAAGGCATCATAGAAGCTCATGCCAGTTGCCAGTGTCATGCCTTGGACTTCTCAGCCTCTAGAACTTTCAGAAATAAATTTATTTTCTTTAAAAATCATCCAGTCTGTGATATTCTGTTATAGCAACACAAAACAGACTAAGACACTACTCCAAATATGATTACATGTTGAGTAGGAGGAACCACTTATGTACAAGTCCTGTTGTTTACCCAGTTCTTATATAACTGTACTGAAAAACCCACTATGTACAAGCACTGTGCTAAACTAGTTTTATCTACAAAGGGGGTATGATTCATGTTTAACAAATGATCAGATTAAGATAAAGACAGATTAATGAGGAGAACTGCTGTGGTTTGAATATATGCCCTCCTCCAACCCCCAACATTTGTATATTGAAACCTAGGGCCCAATCTGATAGTTTTGAGAGGTGATGTCTTTAGGAGATGATAAACGGAATTAGTACCAATATAAAAGACCTCAAGGGTACTAGCTAAGTAAGCCTTTTGCCATTCATCTTCTGCCACGTGAGGACACATTGTTCAGGGTGTCATAATGGAAGTAGAAGGCAGTCCTTACCAGACACCAAATCTGCTGATGCCTTGATGTTAGACTTTCCTGTCTCCAGAACTGTGATAAATATTTCCATTGTTTATAAATTATGCAGTCTCAGACATTTTGTCACAGCAGCACAAATGGACTAAGAAGTAAGAGTGAAATAAAACTTAACTCCATATCCTTATACTTCCTAATTTGTAACATTGCCTCAAATGGCTCCGCTTTTACATTTGCAGTCTACTAAATCAGGAGAAGTTAATAGCGGGCTGGGCTAGGAAGCATAAACATTTTATTTACAAGGGCTGATACCCTTTCTGGAATCCTTTGTACATCGTTAAGATTGGACGCCTCCCTGGACAGATTCATATGGAGGCAAAGTTTTGCATTTATTTTCAGTGAGTTAGCAACCCACTGAAGGCTCATGGAATGCTGTTCAAGATAAATATTTCACAACTGTGTTTTCTGTTCAATCATCATTTATCAAGTGTCTGTTGACATTTGCTTTTAGGTACCCCTTCACATTTCTTTTGATAATAACATCTTATATTTTCATTGGAGACTTTCTTATTCTAATCCCACAGACTGTCAATCAAGGAACCAAGAGCCCATGGAAAATGGGTGGGCACGTGATCCAAGCCAGGGAAATCAGAATATTATTACTTTACATGTTTCTGGTTGAGCTATGGGAAACTATTCTCTCTATCTACTAAGGAAGGTAAACTGGTAGAATATGAATGGGGTACTCTTTTTCATTAATTCCTACACATGCAGAAAACACATGGAAGAGATGAGGCCCT